GTCAGTCAGTCAGTGACAGTGGCCCGCCCTGCACTAACCTGGGGAGCCGGCTGTAGATGGTGCTGGGCCCCGCACGGTTCAGGATATCAACATCCTAGATGCGCGCCCTGCCCCCTCCTGCAATCAGGGAGTGCCCTGAAGAGGCAGGGAGTCACTGCCAACCAGTCTAACAGGCCCTGCCCATTGCTGCACCCAGGGGACGGGTCAGAATACTCAGGTACACCCGCCCCATGAACTATCAGTGCGCCGTGCGCCGTGCTCCTCCCCCCCGGGCACTGACAACTCACCACCAGCTCCATCATGGCGCCGCCCAGGCGGGAGGCCATCACTACGCATGCCAGCAAACACCAAACCCACCCCCTTACGCTGATTGGGGAATCCATGCCCACAACGCCCACATCACTCTCTTGTTGATTGGTCCACCTGCACGCTAATCGTCTAAGACCCCACCCCCTTTCGGCGACAAGGGCATCACTGCGGCTGCGGCCGCATCTACCTCTATCCGATTGGTCCATCTGTCCGCCATTCATCTAAATCCCCGGCTCCCCCTTCGGCTGATTGGGTATTCGCGGCGATAGGTACCGCCCCACCTCTGTCCAATCAGTCCAAACGCACGACAATCACCTAGCCCCGCCCCCTCGGCTACGATTGTCTGAGATAACAAGGTGCAGAGCTGGATGAACACAGCAGGCCAAGCAGAATCAGAGGAGCAGGAAAGCTGACGTTTCGGGCCTAGACCCTTCTTCAGAAAAGTAGACCCGTTCTCCTCTCTCTGATTAGTTGGTGCTCACGCCAATCATTTAATTATCTAACCCTTTAATCAGTTCTAAGGGCCACTCGCCCTGAAACATATTCTCCGATTTCTACTTACAGATGCTCCCATACCTGCTGAGCTTTTCGAGAAAGTTTTTTTTTCTGATTTACACCATCCGTAGTTCTTTCGGTTTTTATTTGGAATTTTAATACATACTCGTCCCCATGTTCGGTTGGTCCATGGCCACGCCAATCAAGTCATCACGCCCCATTCACGTTTATTGGCTTCTTTCGGTGACCTACCCACCCCACCTGCCCGTTTTCTATTGGATTATCCGCATGTCAATCCTCTGCCCACGCTCCCTGTGATGACTATTGGCTAATCTCCGTGTCCGCCCCACAGTGCAGACTGTCCGATTGGGCTGTCCCCACGGCAAAGACCAGGCGCCCGCCCCCATTCTGCTATTGGTCGATGGTTGCGATGCCCGTCTCCTCCGCGCCCCGCTAACTGGGTGATCCCCACACCAACCAACTCGCCTTGTTCCCGGATTATGAACCCGCCCCTCGTCCCCATTGGGTTAACCCGTCAAACGCCTCCATGGAGTGAGTGTTGATTGGCTTCTCTGCTGTCACTCAGTACAGGTCCCGTAATTGATTGGCTGAGGCTGGGGTCCATCAGCGTCTTGCGGCCCAGTGGGTTGGTGAATTTTTTGCCGGAGGGAGTCAGGGAAGAGGCCCCCGGCCGTGACTCTCACTATCCCCATTCCCCATTCCAGTCCGGCGTTGCTGGAGGAGCCCATGTGTTCGAGTCGATGAGGGGAGTCGGACCCGGGAAGGAGCCTCTGGAGCCGGGCCTGGGCCAGACCATGAGCCCCAGCCTGGAGGTGAAGGTCGCCTCCCTGTTCCTGCTGCTGGTGCTGACCGTCCTGAGCGGCCTGCTGCCCCTCTGCGTGTTTCGGAGAGCGGCCGGAGGTTCCGGGAGCGCAGGTAAGGATGGGCGGGGAGGACGGTCCCCGGTAGCTGGAGGGGAATAAAGGGCCCTCCCCGGGCGGGTGTGCGGGAGGACAAGGGGGGTGGAAGATGGACCCTCTCTCTTTGGGGGGGGGGGGGGGGGGG